TTTTGTTTTGTTTTGTTTTGAGACAGGATCTCACTAAATTGCTGAGGCAGGCTTTGTGTTTGTTGATCCTTCTGCCTCAGCTTCTGGAACCACTGGGATTACAGGCATGCACCACTGTGCCTGGCAAAGTTTTTAAATTATATAGAGTTCTAGTTTGAAAATTTATGGATCTTGTCATGGTCAGCTCACAGACATCTAATGAATCTCTTGATTTGTAAGCCTCAATCCTGTAAAAGTGTGTTTTCATGTGTTTTTAAAATGCTCTGTTTTATTAACTGGGCTTTTATAGTTTTTGCCCAATAGCCAGAATGTACAAGCATAATTGGTAGGAGTGCCTTTCCCAGAGGATTGAGCAGTTTTTAGTGGATTTGTGTAGGTCAAAAGGTGTATAGGCTAATTTTCTCCAAGATAGATGATGGCTTACTTCTCAGGAAGACTAGTGATTATACTAATTTGGGGGAGGGCTAGGTGACAAGCAATTAGGAAGTCTAGATTATACTTTACAATGTGTAAATGCAAATGAATAAAAGTTAATAAGTTTGGGAATTAGAGATGTAAAACACATTGCACACCCAGATAGGAGGTGACTGAGTGTGTATATGCCAACAATAAATCTTCAGCCCGGGCATGAGTACAGACTACTCATAGTTCTCCCCCATCTACCCAGTGACTGATGTCTAGAAAAGCTCAGCTCCAGAATTTACACCCATGAGGAGGCAGCATACGAGGCACCTATTCTCAGTTCTGTCCTTACAGATGATCACTGAACCTTTACTATCCAAGATTTGTCCACTGGCTTCTGTTTAAATTAGCTGGGCAGGTTGGAGTTTCTGAGCTCCTTTTGATTTTCATTCTGAAACAATACTTATAGTCTCAGATGGTCTGGGACTGACTTTATCTCCCTAGCACAGGATTATTTTCTATTCAAGGTGTGGAAGACTGAGCAAAGTACAGTTTCAAACATAAAATCTTTTTAAACTTCTATCTGCATTCACCAATTGGGAATGAATCTGTGGCTTTCACCTCTGGTTAGAATTATTCCTGAATATTCTGTTTCATCTCACATGCCCTTCTAGAAGTGCAAGGGTAAAGTTTTGGAGTATGTTTTTTTTTTTAAATGTCTCTTTGATGATTAAAGAACTTTAAATTGTAATAGGAACTGAAAGATTATACAGGCTGAATCTGAAAAGGGTGAGTGGTGATTTAACTAAGGTTCTGAAAGTTAGAGGCCCTCTTTTTGTAGTAGTTCACATTCAGATGTTGTTCACCATTCCTGTCACTGAAGAAGAGAAAGCAGAATTTGGAAGCATCAGAAAATTGGGTGGCATATTTAAAAAATTTTAACCAGGTAGCAACATTTAACAATCGAATGGATTATGGGGATCTTGTGAATGGAGAGAATGGATGATTCTCATTTATTTTAGTTCTAACTGGGAACCTGTTTGCTAAGGCATAGTCTAATTCTAACATTATGAGATTTTCAAAACTGCAAGGAACTTTGGAAACCTAATTTGACCATGTGGCCCACAACCAGTCCTTTTTGTGCTGGGGAGGAGTATTGAAAGGGATAAGGGAAAACTTTTATTTGTTATACCTGCTTATGTCTGAGCCTGTGTATGAAAAATACAACTCATAGAATTGAAAGGTGCACCAGAATTTTAGCACAGGCCACTCCCCATGTGGGCCCCTGTGTCTAGCCTCCTGGACAGGGCAATCTAGCCACTACATGTTACATTTCTAGTGAGAGGGAGAAGTCTCCTTAAGACCTTTTGCTTATCATAGACATCTCTGCTTACAAGCAATGTTTCCTTATGCTTGAATACAATCGGACTCTCTGGATACACACTTGTTGTTCTTAGAATTGCCTTATAGGGTTCCAGAGAATGAGGCTCATCAATTTTCCTCTGAGAGCTCATTTAATAATTAAAAACTGTTCTTATTCTTAAGTCTTCTAAGTGTCTCCCCCTGCAGGGTAATTTCTTGGTCATCTTGTATTGTAGAGGCCTTCCTTTAAATCCAAGTCAGGTTGTTTGGATCCCTTGAAAATGGAAAAGTAGACAGAGGTTCTTCTTGGCCAGTTTCTCATACCTTGCCCATCTGTGTCTTCATGCTAACTTTAAAGCTGTCTAGGATTCAGAAATCTCAAAAGGTGGGCCCAGCCCTGCGTCCCATAATGTCCCTTGGCTGCACAAGGATTGCAACTGCCACGATATTCTTCAACCTCGTGCCTTTTCTACTGAAATTCCCTTTATTTTCTCCCAGACCCTGCGGCTTCAAGGTGTCAAATACCTAATCCCTATTAATAGGAGGATCCAAGAAAACATGGGTAGCTCTTGCATTTTAACATCACTTTCTAAGGTAGAGTTTTTCACATTTTATTTATAATAGGCAAGTAATAAAAAACAGGATGCTAGCATGGCGCCAAGATGGTGTCAGTAGGGATAATTGAGAGGACACTCTTGCCTGTTTACTTTTCAGATCACATCACACCACGAAGGCAAGTCAGCCTTGACCAGAGCAAAACCTGCCTCTTCTGCCTGCTCTCACTTGTGCCTGGTCTTTGATGGTTGTTGATACAGAGCTTCTACAGTCATTGAATTTCATTAACCTATGGATTCCTTTGTAATTTGATAATAAGTTTAAGTTTCACTGCGACTTGAAGGAGGCCAGTGGCAACCTGCTGTGGTGTCATAGCATTTCTGTGTTAAACTCAGCTCTGAGGTGTTAACTGCTGATAACAACATACAAAGTTTGCAAATGCCTAACCTAATTTAAAAATATATCCATATAAGCTAGAGTGGATTTGAGTTCAACCTCAAAATATTAATTTCACTTTCATTCTGTCATGAAGAGGATGGAGCTGTATCTGTCAGGGTGGGCATCATGCATAAGCTGCCGTCTCCTTGCTTTTAAGAAGATCCCTTAAATCTTTGTGGATTTCATACTTTCTTGTATATTCCTGAACCTTTTTTGATGATAATTTATTAAAACATGGATTCACCCATGCTAATGTTATGTGCAGGTGAATTCCATGTCACGTGCCTCCCTGGGAAGAAGTCTGTGGCCTGCAATGGGAGAATGTACTGTTGCTAGTCAGGTCTGTAAATTGAGTAGATATTGACACATTCAGCTAGGCGCCTTGGGTGACTTCAGAATGTTCTCTGAAGCTTCCCTCCTTAAACATCTCCTGGGGACTACTATGTCTGAAATTCTATTATCGGTTCTTTGAGAGAAAATTGGCTCTTTTGGATAAAAGTTTCAAAAGTAACTCGTTTTTTTAAAAAACATTTAAAAAAAGTTTAGTGTGTTGATTAGTTTAAATTTTCTTCCCTTTGGTATTGTTGAAACCAGGAAAAATCTTGTATTTCTGGAGATTTTTAAGAGTATGAACTGTCATGCTTCATTTTTAAAATCTCATGACATATTTTTTATAATTATCACTCAGTCTTCCAAACTGCCTTCCCTCCATCTCCAGTATAATAAAATTATCTCATTTGGTGAATAGATTCACTTATGAAGTATAAAATGACTTAAAACATTTTCCCTTATCAAAACATCCATCTTCTCATCCATCCATCCATCCATCCATCTGTTCATGTGTGCATCAAAGTTTTAGTGCCTGCTGTTTGCCTAGGATTTGTACTATGTTCTTGGACCCAATAAAAAGTAAGCAATCTCTGAACATGACTGCCCAGTGTGGGAGGCAAAAGTGACTTTAACATGGCAATATAAGTTGTAATTACTTCACTAGCAGAAGGTACAACATGCTGTGGAAGGGCGGTAATGAGACTGATTAACTTTTCATAGACTTTCCTTTCATTTTTGACAAAAATATATTTAACCAATATTAATATTCTCTGGTGTACTGTATATAGATAGATGTTACGACATGGAGCTTATTTTATAATAGAGGTAGCATGAAGGGTGTTGCAAAGAACTGATGGCTGTTTCTGTATCTGGAATTCTGAAGCTATGGTAAGGGATCTTTGAGTAGCATATAGTGAAATAGAATCAGGCTGTCGAGGGTGGAAGTGACTATAAATGTCAACTAGTTAAATTATCTTTTAAAAATTATGTTCCTATTAGATGGTTGGAAGCCACTTATCCCCACCCATCCTCCTCAAAAAAAAAAAAAAAAAAATCCAGTGGTAG